TTAGCTAATTAATGCGGAGGGTGAACAGGAAATATAAACAGCGCTGAGAGGCAGACGCTCTCAGCGCTGGCTATACTCGGACTTTCCGTTTGTTGCTGCTGATGGAGGAAGCCAAAATAAACACATATTGCTACAGCAAGACTGGGAGTAAAGTGTTTTATTGAACCAGTTTTAGCAACCCCGCGTAGGAGCTGACAATCTTGTTCAGTCAGTTGTTTTGTCCGAATCCAGGAGTCTCTTTACTACCTGTACTGAGGTGGGCAGATTCTAGACCTTTTGGACAAATGGCCCAATGCTGGTTTGGGTGAAGAAATCCAGACAAGATCCAACAGTCAGATTAACCTCAGGGTCCCTTTGTGGTCGCCAATTGTTGACGACAAAATTCTGTTCCTTTCCGCAACTAGATAGACAAGCCCACGACACCAGAGTTTATTCAAAAGCAAAACGAAGACAGAGAAGCCAGATGAATTGGACATGTCTTGTTTAATGAAAAGAAGGACTGGGGGGGGGGGACATGATAACAGCCTTCCCATATCTCAGGGGCTGCCCCAAAGCAGAGCGGGGTCAAGCTCTTCTCCAAAGCACCTGAAGGCAGGACAAGAAGGCAACGACTCATCGAGGAGAGAAGCAACCTGGAACTAAGGAGAAATTTGCGAACGGTGCAAACAATTAACCAGTGGAACAGCTTGCCACCAGAAGTTGTGAATGCTCCATCACTGGAGGTTTTTAAGAAGAGACTGGACAATCGTTTGTCTGAAATTTCATAGGGTCTCTTGCCTAAGCAGTGAGTTGGACAAGAAGACCTCACAGGTCTCTTCCAACTCTTGGAAGAGAGTTGTTATTCTGTTAGGTGGAAAGAATCCCTGAGCAGCGGGACTTCCTTTTACCCAGATGGGGAAGCCATGCAGGTAGAGAGCTGAGGGGATTCCTCCTAAGGCCTTGGACTTATCAGAAGGAGCTGAGGGCTAGAGCCTCTTGGGTGCTATCTGGTGGATGTTCAGATCTTTACAGCCCTGACACACCAGCTAGTGAAGACACAACCTTCAGGGACCCACCCCACCATCCCATTCCCATGCCCTTCCTAGCAGGATTCTCCGTACATATCCAGAGCGGGAATTGCAAACAAATCAGTATTGTGGGCAGGGAAAATGGTGCTGAGGCCAAGCAGATTCCCAACCTGCCAATTCAAATGAGACGGATAGGCATGAGAAAGCATCGTAGCATCAGAAGACGGGGTCCTTCTCGAGAGACATCGTTTCCCCCCCGCCCTTTCATGCCGAGCCTTGTCCTATGCGGAAGATTTGGGGGTCCTGAGCTTTGGATTTCAACAGCCTCCTGGCTCTGCAAAATAAAGGAGGCCAGCCATGCGAGAGAGAATTTATTTGACCTTCTGGCCACATCAGGAGGGGCAAGATCCAAGCTAGAGAAAGCATCCATGGAGCGAAGGAGTGCAAAGCAGAGACTCGGGGAGGCAGGAGGGGCTCCGTTACTTCACCGGGTGCTTCAATCCCTCTGGAGCGGAAGAAAGTTGCACTAGGACAAGCACTGGCAGAAGAATGGACGCAAGGAGGCACAATTCTCATTGTTCCACTTCTTGTAACCTGGGCAGTAAAAGAAAAAAAAACCCACATTTGCAGTGACCTTTTCAGTGTCCCAGAAGATCTGCTCCTCCCTCAGCTGCAGAGGGACACGAAGATACCACAGGGGGAGAACCGCGCCTGCTAAAACGGGCTGGGGGGTTCACCAGGTTGCTGTAACCGAGATAACTTACCTATCCAAAAATCAGGCTACGGCAACCAGGCTTTGCCTGTCAAGCTCTGCTTAGCCACAAGAGGGCAGCAAAGGGCCTGAGATTTTAGTCCAGGTGAAAACTTGGGGGGAGCTTTGACTTCACTGTCATGATTGTTATATGGATCCCTTTCCCCCCCATGTGCTAAGGACCTCCCTGGATGATGCGTGTGAGAACCAGTATACTGGCTTGCAAAGTGGCCCCTCAATTAGACATCGTAGCTTGCACAGAAGAGCATGGACATGCTGTGGTTGCTCTTGGGGTACGCCGGCCAAAGTGAGCCCTTTTACAAAGAGACATTATGGCCCTTATGTGAGAATAGCCACAACATGCCGCCTTGTGTGTCTAATTATAATTAGCCAATAAAATATTCTGTTCTGTTTTCTATTCTGTTGTATCCTACTAACTGGATACCCGTGCTTTGCTACAAAACTATGTGATCGGGCTTAGTTTTGGGGGAGGAAAATAAGGGGGGGAAATTCTTCTTCTGCCTACCAGCATCCATCAGTATTCATCTGGCTAGTGTCTTGTCACTATGTGAGAGAGTGGAGGGCTGTTTGGAAACTGAAACAGTATTTGCTGTGTGAGCAAGAAGGGGACAACAGGGAGCCTGGGCGTGGCTTAGCTCAACTGTTCTGTACTAAAGCTGCTTGGGGGTCTGAAACTGAAAGTGAAACTGAAACTCCTCTGCTTGTGTTTTGCCTTTGGAAGAGATTTCTTTCCAAGTGGGGAGAAGGAGTGGAACTCCTTAGCATCAGAGAGTGTTAATAATATTAATAATATAGGAAATACTCTAAATGCTCTGATGGTCATTTTGAAAAATCCTTTCTTAGTGAGCCTCTAGAAGCCAAGAGGAACATAAGGGCCAAATTTCAAGTTTGTAAGCTTTACGATTCTGGAGATTTTGTGATGATGCGTGAGGGGTATTTCTATTCTGAATCCTACTCCATTCCTGTATTCTGTTCTGTTCCATCCCATCCCATGTAGCTTGTTTATTGCAAGATGATGGCCCTATAATCTTTGGTACATAAATGTTGAGCTTTTGAAGGAGCGATGGCTTTCATTTTTGTTTGCCAAAGGCCGCCAGTTGCCAAGCGGCAAACGATCCAGGGTGCATCGAATGGGCCCTCTTATGGGAAGCGCATCCTCAACTTACTGGACTCAGCCCAGAGCTCAACACAGTTCTCGTTCATCAGCTTGTTGTTGGGTTTTCCTCGTTTCCAGGATGTGTAGCTGACTTTGGAGCCGTCACTCCACTCCCAGTTTTCTTTCTGTAATGATAGAGAAGCCACATTAGCTAACTGAGGAGCTCAGGGGCAGATAGAAAAAAGTTGGCGGGTTTCAAGGGTCAGAGCAAAGAGACAACTAGGTCTCCTTTCTTCCCCCCATCTAAGTCAATTTCAGTTGAGCTAGAACAGTTAAAAGTAAAGGTGCTAGTCATCTGTGAGTAAGTAAGTAAAGGTGCTAGCACATCTGTGCTAGTCGTTTCCACCTCTAGGGGTTGCTGCTCATCTCCTTTCCAAAGCCAAAGAAGAGCCAGCGCGGTCCGAGGACGTCTCCGTGGTCATGTGGCCAGCAGGATTAAATGCCTTCGAAGGCACACGGAGGAACGCTGTTCCCTTCCCACCAAAGGGGTCCCTGTTTTTCTACTTGCACATTTTTTGGGGTAAAAAGTTTTTAATTTTTTTTTTAATTTTTACACCTCTCTTCACATGAACGACATGTTTCTGGATTATAACACTTGTACCTAGTCATACTTTCATTTCCATTAATCTTATATAATATATCATTATCAATTTTATTCATCTTTAAATAAATTTGCATTTCCTATTTCAGTTCATTAACTCGATATCAATATCATTTCATCCACGCATAAGTTTTCAATTCTTTATCCCCTATTGTTTTCATTTTCAGCTTACCACCGATTTTATTTTACTTTACACATCATTATTATCCTTGATTTTCTCTAAGCCGATATATAATAAACAATCTAAAAAGAGTAAAAATAGAATAAAGCCAATATATTTAGGATCCCCATGGCATTTTTCATTCCCCTACTTTAACCCTAATAAAATATTCTCATTATACACTTCTAATATCCATTAAATAATCAACTGTATATTTTATAATGTATATATATAAATATATATATGTTTTCTGAGGTTTTGGGGTATTTGTATGTGAATCTTTGATTATTTTATGCAGGAGAAAACCCGAATAACCAAAGATCGATTGATCTATCTATCTATCTATCTATCTATCTATCTATCTATCTATCTATC